AGGGGAAAAGCCACAGCGGGGCCAGCTTCTCTCCCCCAGCCCCCCACTCAATCTCTTCCCTGCATAGGATGTCCACATGCTGCCAGTAGTGCCCCCTTAACAGTTAAGGAGGTGTTGGGAGAAGAGGGGAATCCCTTGCAGGAGTGGGAGGGAAGGGAATCCCTCTCCCAGCTCCTTCCCTGCATAGGGTGCCTTTAGGGAGGAAGGGGTGGCCAGGGTTGGGCAAGCCTCAGAATCCCTTTTCAGCATGGGGAACTAGGAAAAGGGGTGGCCACAGCTAGGCAAGGAAAAGCAAACTCAGTCATCACACTAAAATTCTAAATAAAAAAAAATGAAGAACATTACACCACATCAATCGCGGTTTTGTGTGTGCGCTTTTTTGTTTGGTTGGTTTTTTTTTGTTTTTTTTTGCTTATCACTTTTGTGCGGCCCCTGGCTCATATCTGGCCCCCAACCCAAATAAGATTCCCCACCCCTGTTTTACTATAGAAGTAAGGGTTCAAGGATTAAGCCCATAGCCAGAGTATCCACTCCAAGATAATTTGCTAATTCATTCACTGGATTTCAGTGTTCATTTATGTCAAATACATATTTATGTGGACCCTACAACAGTCTTATATATTTTTAGAGCATTTGTGTGTCTGTCTGTGCGTCCATCTCTCTGTCTGCAGGTCCATTTGTTCAAGAACTCTTCCTAAACGGTAAAAGTTAGGGCCATCAAATTTGGTGCAACTTTCTTTTACTCTAACTTAAAGCAAGGTCAGGGTTTGGTTGAGCCAGGAAAATGGGAAGTGCCTGGAATGGGACTGTTTTCCATAGTGTGGAAAAGGAAGGGGCTGATCAGAGGAGAGCTATCTGCAGAATGACCACTGGGGGCAGCCAAGCTAGAAAAGGAGTGGCCAGGTGGAGATGGAGCTCACCATCTTTCCGACCACCAACCTTTGTCCTCAGCCCTTCTCTCCTCCGCCCCAGTCCAACTGCTCACCCCTCCCCCCCCCACTAGCCCTGCTGCCCCAGATTCCTGGGACCATTCCCAAGGCTAGAAAGCACACCCTGCTCCTCCTTGAGCCTTGCCCCCACCTCTGGACCAGCTGCAGGCTGGGACTGGCCCACAGAGTCTTGCACCTCACACCCTGGACCAGCTGCATAATGGGGATCAGCTGCTGGCCGCCACCAGGACACGTTGCTGGCCTGCTGGGGTTTACTGGAGGCCAAGAGCACCATCCCCAACCCAGACTAGCTGGAGCATATGGAGGGCAGCTGGATGTCGGGGCCAGAGCCCTGTGCACCCACCCTGGAATAGGCTTGAAGCCAGGGACGGCCTATGTAGCACCAATCCATCGGGAGGAGCTACCAATTGGGGAGCAGAGCCTTGGTCCCCAGGAGGAACCGCCACCATAGCAGCGTGACCCTCATCACACAGAGTGACTCCAGTAAGCTCCCTCCCCTGACCTCCCAGCCCCCTGCCCTGGGCCCTGGACCCCGTACCCTCACTTCTACATCACCACTTCCTGCCCTGAGCACAAAAATGGAAACTTAAACAAACAACCTCAAAGAGCTTTAAAAAAATTCTTGCATTTGTAATATCTTTGTACATCACCTGTACTTTAGTTTTTCAACACTGTTAAATTTGTATGTAGTTTTATTAGTTGTCTTTGGAAGCTTAAATTTTGAATTTTTTCTTTCTTGTCCCAGAACAATCATGGTTACATACTGCTGTTCAAAGAGAATTACTTCTTACTCCAAAAATGTGCAGTTTAATTACAAATATATATTGTTTTTTTGAACATAAATTTCTTCTTAAAACCATTGTAGAGAAATTTGATTCATTTTGGTCCTGGCTTATCATGAAAACAACTAGGTGTGTGTGTGGTGTTTAATTTACATCAGATACTTATTGTTATAAAATCTATTAGCATTTTCTATTAATTTCAATTGTATTGAAGCAGATTTTCTTAGATGTGTTCTTTTAAATCATTATTTTTGTAAGCGGCTTTATATCCTACTAGTCAATTTACCTGGTATTGCTTGGGTCTTTAGCTCAATTAAGCTATGGGTATTTTTGGAAAATGTATATGTTTTATTTAAACAATTGTATTTTTTCAAGAACACCGTGTTATTTTTATGAAGTCAATTTTTATTTTGGATTTATTTGAAAAAGATATTGTTAAAAAGTGTCCATTTAACTGTTTTTAGTACATTTTTTTGAATGGTAATTCCATTACATGTATTTTTTTTCTTCATCCTTTTAGACTCTTATCATTTGCTATGTTTTTTAACAAAGAAAGGGCTATAGTCAATGTGGTTTGCAATAACATTTTCTTCTAGTTTTCAAACCTTAAGTATTAATTTAGCTGTGCCAAAACAGAGCAGTATTCCAGATTTCTCCATTTTATCTGTTTTCTGTAAAGTTTATTGAGAAGCAATACTGTTCCAGGTTCATCTTATTGTTCTGGCTCATCTTGGTTCAGTCCAGGATTAAAGTAACTTACATTTCTTACGGGTAATGTGTATCACAATCCTCTCTGGGGGCAGGTGGTGGGAAGACTTTGGGACAGGGAGTGAGAGGAGGAGTTGTGATACAATGTGAAGTGGAATGCTGGAGACTCAAGTCTCAGTGTTGGGGAGTGTCAGGGTTTCGGGGGCTCCAGGCAGGGGGATGCAGGTGTGTGGGGTGCAGGAATCAGGCCAGGGGCTTTGGGGTTGGGGGTGGGGGGGGGGGAGCTCAGGGAAGGAGACTGCAGGCAGGGGGTTCGTGTGTGTGGTGGGTGCAGGAGTTAGGGTAGGAGGTGAGGAGGGACTTGGGACTAGGGTTGGGGGGGGTGCAGGAGTTACGTTGGGGGGTTGAGTGATGAAGGTGGGTGTGTAGGTGGGGACAAAGGACACTCCCCCTTCCTCCCCAAGAGTCATACCAGGGCTGCTTGCTCTTCCCTTTATTGTTCCTGTCGGAGTGAGAACAAAGTGCACAGCTTATCTGCCCCCTGCATTCCCCTGCTGTAGTGAGGAATGCAATGAACTGTGTACTTTCCCCTCGCTTCCTGATGAAAAGGAGCAGCCAGCAATGTTCCCATATGAATCTGGGAGAGGGAAACTTCAGGAGCCCTCCAAAGGGCGGCTGGGTGGTGGGAGGCTCAGGGCTGGGGCAGTTCTAGATGCCTCCACCACCCAGCCAGCCCCTTTCACCTGCCTGGTCATTCAGTCTCTTTTCTGTTGGTATTATGAGAAGCAATCCCATTCCAGGCATATCCCCATTTTCCTGGCACAGCCAAACCCTTACATTGCTTTAAATTATATAAGGAAGTTGTATACGAAATGTAACGGTCTTAGCTCTTGCCATTTAGGAGGAGCTCTTGAACAGACAGAGAAATTCTTTCAAATATACAGTAGATGTGGAATACTCTATAGTATGTTATTGCTCACATTAGCTTTTTGTTCTTCGCTTAGTGGAAAGAGATGTTAATGGCAAGTTGTTGAATAAAGCATTGTGTATACTCTGTGATGGGAGCGAACCATCATTCTCTGCTTCAGATATCTTAGGAAATAGGTAAGTATGCTTGCTTCTTCTAAATTGATATATTCAGAGCTGGTTTTTATAGATCCTAATGATGATGATGTGATTGAAATGGAACGCTCCCCAGGTTAATAGGAGCATATTCTCTTGCATATTCTGTAGGTGCCATAATGCGATAGTGATAATCTAAGTAGCAGTGAGACAAGAGTTTAAACTCATGTTCAAGCCAATAGGGGTTGAGGTTGCTCATTACTTTGCATGGCCAGGATCCTAAATGTACAACTCCTGTCTGTCTTCTGATTTGGTGGTAAGAATGTAAATACCTATTTAAAAGGTTAACCGATTAAACAATAGAACATTAATTGTTTAATTGGTTAGCCATGGGGGTCAGCGGAGGCTGCTCCAGGCAGGGGCCCTGCCTGGGGTCTGGCCAGCCATCACAGGCGGCAGGGCTCCTCTAGCCCAGCCCTCTGTCATGAAGGCTATTCTGACCAACCTGAGTCCTGCCACTCTGTGCTGTGAGTAGAAATGTGAACAAATAATTATCGGATAGTCGACTAGTTGCTTCCCCCCCCTTACTGCCTCTATCAGAAAGAGGAAGCAAGGAGGGGGGGGGGGGGGGGAGAGGAGGAGTGCTTCAAAGCGGCAGCACCACGTGGAGGCTGGGGTCTGCTGCTTTGAAACTCCACATGCAGCCTGGGGCCAGCTGGGAGTCCCCAGCCAGCCTCAGGCTGCATGTGGCGCTGCCACCTTGAAGCCTGGGGTCTGCTGGGTACTCCCTGCTGACCCTGGGCTCCATGCAGTGCTGCCATTTTGAAATGCCACGGGGAGCCTGGTATCAGGCTCCATGCAGTGTTTCAAAGCAGCAGTGCTGCATGGAGCCAAGGATCAGCTTTGTAACATTGCATGGAGCCTGATGACGAGCTCCCCATGGCGTTTCAAAGTAGCAGCGCCACATGGAGCCTGGGGTCAGAGTCCCCAACTGCCCCTTTTGAAACGCTGTGGGGAGCAAAGAGCCAATGGGGGACTGCTTGATTTCCCTGCTGGCCCTGTGCTCCCCACAGCACTTTCACCTTTCAAGTGTAGCAACAGCGCTGGGGCTTTTGCTATACTTCAAAGGTGTAGACGCCTTTATTTACTACTAATCAAATAGTTGATGCAAATTGCATGGACTATTCGATTAGCTAATTAATCAAAAATTTACATCTGTACCTGTGGGTGGGAATTGCTCTGGCCAGCCAGGATCCCACCCTGGTTGTGTCACGGATTGGGGAGCTTCTCCAGGCAGTCGGAGTCTTGCTGCTCCCTGAGGGCACAGCCCTCTAGTTAATTGGTTACCAGATGAGCATGCCAGTAAGGCTAATGCTTACCAGGTAACTGGTTAGTCTTTTTCATCCCTGATTGGTGATAGAGAAGAAACAAATGTTTCTTGTATTAATAACTATCAGTTGTGCCCAGCATTGCTTGGGTCTGTAAACTGGAGGAATTTCTTTTTTTGGAAAAATAAAATGTAAAATATACATGAGTTATTTCAATTATTGTATTTTTCTAAAATGAAGAAAAATGAAGGCTGGAGTGACAGTTTGAGGTGTGAGGAGGGTTGGGGTAGGTGACTTAGGACTGGGAGATGTTGGGGGCTCGGGGCAGGGGAAGGAGGTGCTGAAGTCAAGTCAAGTGGGAGGTGCAGGACTCAGGGCAGGAGGCTCAGTACAGGGGGGTGCCAGTAACAGCAAGGGTGGCACTGCTCTGGCAGCAACTCTTGCTAAGGGGCTGGGGAACCACTCCCCTGCCAGCAAGCCCCTTCAGTTTCCCACCTTCCACGGCCTTCTACCACCTCCTCAAGCTGCCCTCCTCCTCCGTGGCCTGCAGGCTTCTAAAAACATAAGAACATAACAGCAATCCTGCATCAGACCAAAGGTCCATCTAGCCCAGGATCCTGTCTGCCGACAGTGGCCAATACCAGATGCCCCAGAGGGGGAACACAACAGATAATCCTCATGTGATCCCTCATTTACTGACAAACAGAGGCTAGGGACACCATTCCTACCCATCCTGGCTAATAGCCGTTGATGGACATAACTGCCATGAATCTATCTAGCTCTTTTTTGAACCCTTTTAAAGTCCTAGTCTTTACCACATTCTCTGGCAAGGAGTTCCACAGATTATGTTCTGAGTGAAGAAGAACTTCCTTTTGTTTGTTTTAAATCTGCTGCCTATTAATTTCATTTGGTGTCCCCTAGTTCTTATATTATGGGAACAGCTAAATAATTTTTCCTTATACACTTTTTCCACACCAGTCATTACTTTATAAACCTCTATCATATTCCCCCCCTTAGTCTCCTCTTTTCTAAGCAGAAAAGTCCCAGTCCTTTTAATCTGGCTTCATATAATCTCTCTCTGAGTAGTTACAGCTAAATTAGTCCCCATCATATTGTATGTATATTTGGGATTATTTTTTCCAATGTGCATTACTTTACATTTATCAACATTAAATTAAATTTGCCATTTTGTTGCCCAATCACTTAGTTTGGTGAGATTTTTGAAGCTCTTCACAGTCTGCTTTGGTCTTAACTATCTAGAGCAGTTTGGTATCATCTGCAAATTTTGCCACCTCATTGTTTACCCCTTTCTCTACATCTTTTATAAATAAGTTGAATAGGATTGTGGGACACCACTAGTTACCTCTTGCCATTCTGAAAACTTGCCATTTATTCCCACCCTTTGTTTCCTGTCTTTTAACCAATTATCAGTCCATGAAAGGACCTTCCCTCTTATCTCATGACAACTTATTTAGTTAAGTAAGTTGTGGGGGGTGCAAGCATCTGGGGTCTGCTCCCTCCTGCAGCACTCCCTTTGCCATCTGCTGGCTGTCTGGGGAGGGTGAGGCTTCAGGGGCTGCCCTGTCC